CAGGAAAGATTGACTATAATTAGTAAGGATGGGAGAGAGGTGGGACTTCGAGTTTGACGCTATTTTGGCTGTTTCCTTCTTGGGATTGAGTTTATGGGCTGCACAAGTTTGCGAAGGTGGAATAACAAGCAGTTATGTTAGAAATGAAGATTTAGTTCATGATATGCCGTTGGATAGTGACGTTTTCCGTGTGCCTCCCGGTTATAATGCTCCTCAACAGGTGAATCTTCTTCTTCTTCTTGTATGACTTTCCCTTTTTATTTGTGTTTGTTCAATTGCCATAGTTGGTTCTGAGTTTTTATTATTATTACACAGAATTGTACTTTACTATTGAGTAATCCTTTTGTGAGTGTTGATTAATGAATATGTATTTTTGTTGAAAGGTTCATATTACGCAAGGAGATCATGTTGGAAAGGGTGTGATTGTGTCTTGGGTTACTCCAGATGAAGCTGGCTCGAGTACAGTGCTTTATTGGGCTGAAAATAGTGAGCTCAAGAATAGTGCTCAAGGCATTGTTCTTACTTACAAGTACTTCAATTACACGTCTGGGTACATCCATCACTGCACCATTAATGATTTGGAGGTGAGTACTTAGTAAAGGTCAAGTACTTGGAGTTTGAGTTCATTATTTTATTGGATTAATTTCATAAAATACCCTTGAACTATGTGGTCTGGTTCAGAATTCCAGGGCATGTTGAATTAGAGTACATAGGTCATGGACATTTATGAAACTAGCCTATTTTCCTTTTGAGTTCAACAGAATTTAAAGTATGTATAGTCTTGAAATGAGGCTAAGAAATTCTATTACACATTGCAGTTTGACACCAAGTACTACTATGAAGTTGGGATTGGGAATAGCACAAGAAAGTTTTGGTTTAGAACTCCTCCAAGTGTTGGCCCTGATGTTCCCTATACTTTTGGCTTGATAGGTAATCCTATTTCACATTTGTGATTTAGTTGTTTACTGAATGTGGATTTGAGTTAAGAGCTTGATCTTCACGTGAGATTGAAGAGACTACTTTGACTGCTCTTTTATTTTTTATTTTTTATTTTTCATCTTGTGTAGGGGATTTGGGTCAAACTCCTGATTCAAACAGAACGCTTACTCATTATGAGTTAAACCATGTAAAAGGACAGACATTATTGTTTGTAGGAGACCTCTCTTACGCAGATGCCTATCCGTTCCATGACAATACTAGGTGGGATACATGGGGAAGGTTTGTAGAGAGAAATGCTGCTTATCAACCTTGGATTTGGACAGCGGGGAATCATGAACTTGATTCTGCTCCTGAAATTGTACGGATTTCATGACTTCCATTTATTTTGTGGATCACTCACTGCCATTCATTTACAATGTTTGTGAATAAATTTAGCAACTGAGAATTTTCTTGCAGGGAGAGGGTAAACCATTTAAACCGTACAAAAGCCGCTTCCACGTACCTTACGGAGCTTCACAAAGTACATCTCCTCTTTGGTATTCCATCAAAAGAGCTTCGGCATACATCATAGTGTTGTCTTCTTATTCATCCTACGGTAATTACCTGTTTTTAGTGTTCTGTTGTCATTTTAGGCTGCTGCCGTGTAAAAGTACCTTGTATGACGTTTGAGTAAACAAATAGCTTTCATACAGGTGGGAGGTAATTGGAGTAATCACTTGATTATTCAGTTGAATTCACTGATAGATTAAAGGAGCTGTTACCAATGAAATTTATTGTTGCAAACTCCTAGAAGTTAATCTTTCTGTAAAAATGGATTCTTCCCAAAGCCAGTCTCACTTGTCTTTTAAATATCCATTTCTGTGTCATAAAATGGATTCTATTGATGCCTCCAATAATATGAGTGGAAAATTCTACTTTAGAGAAGTCCTAAATAACTTCAAAACAATATAGCCGCTTTTGTATGTGTGTGACGATGAAGATATATATATTAAAGCTGTGAATTTGTTGTAGGTAAATACACTCCTCAATCCAAATGGCTAGAGAAAGAGCTACCTAGAGTGAACAGGACAGAAACACCATGGCTAATCGTTCTCACGCACTGCCCACTATATAGCAGTTACATACATCATTACATGGAAGGTGAATCCATGAGAGTGATGTATGAACCGTTTTTTGTGGAGTACAAAGTTGATGTTGTCTTTGCCGGTCACGTTCACGCATATGAACGATCTGTAAGTCCTTTTAGCATCTATGGAATGTCCTCAAATCTTCCTTATTCAACTTTTACAATACAATTTTATAAATTGGCGTCACAGGAACGTATATCAAACATAGCATACAACATTGTCAACGGAATTTGCACTCCCATAAGGGACCCATCTGCCCCAGTTTATATCACAATTGGAGATGGAGGAAATCTGGAAGGACTAGTAACCGAGTATGTCCTACTAATATTGTTTTTCTCTCTCCGATACAAACTACTAATATTGTTATATTATTATTGCTTCTTTTATATTGGGTATAAAGTGCAAAGAGTAAAATAAACTTGAGTTGCACATCATTTAGATACACAAATAAACACTAATGTATAAAGACATTGGTTCATTCCACTTAACATATTGACTTTTAATATATTAGTCCAAACTCTGTTTTGGCGTGATGCAGGATGACACAGCCACAGCCAAGCTACTCTGCTTACAGAGAAGCTAGTTTTGGTCATGGGATTTTCGATATAAAGAACAGAACTCATGCCTTCTTCGGTTGGCACCGGAATCAAGATGAATACGCAGTTGAAGCTGATTCTTTATGGCTGCATAACAGATACTGGAAACCCGCATATGAAGAATCATCACTATCTGTATCATGAAAACAAGAGTTATTAGTTTTCTATCGTTATCACTTTCTTTGGTTATAATCTTATCTTAAACTTTAAAGGGAACATATTGGTAAATTGATTAGTAAATTATAACATATTTTTAAAAAATAGTAAATTATAGCATAATTTGATATTTTAAGTTTTAAATATTATTAAAAATTCAAAAATACTTCTAAATCTCCTCCTCCACTTCATTCATCCCTAATAAACATCTTTTTTTTTTATAAAAATAATAAATTATAACATTTTTTTTTTTAAAAATAGATAGATTTTAGTCAAGCCCACCATGGCCGGGACCGGCGGCCGGCTCCGGCGATCAGCTCTGGCAACCAGCGACTATTTTTCAACGACCGGTGACTGTTTCTTAATGACCATTTAACACTGTATTTAACATTAAATACAATATTTACCTTTTAATACCGTATTTACTAGTAAATAGCATATTTACCTGAAAAGCTGACCACCGACTCCAGTGACCATTTAACGTTGTCTTTACAGGTAAATATCGTATTTACCAATAAATATTGTATTTATTAGTAAATATCATATTTACTCAAAAATTTGGCCACCGACTCCGATGACTGTTTAACACTGTATTTACCGATAAATATCATATTTACTAGTAACTATTATATTTATCTGAAAATTCAGACACCGACTCCAACGACCGTTTAACACAGTATTTACTAATAAATACTGTATTTACCAGTAAATACTGTAATTACAAGTAAATATCATATTTATTTGAAAATTTAGACACTGAATTCGACGACTGTTTAACACTGTATTTACTAGGGGTGTAAGAAAGCACTCCGAACCCGATTAACCCGGCCTACCCAACCCTACCCTACCCGAAAATATAAGGTATTCTTTTTTTATTAATTTTTTCGGTTTCAAAATAGCCCAACCCGCACTGTGCTGGTAGGGTCAAGGGCCGGGCTTTATTTGACCTTTTAAACCCTACCCGGCCGACCATATATTGGTCCTAATGTTAAAAAAAAACCCTACAGCCTTACTTTCTTGTCTCTTCCTCATTTTCTTTCTTTCTCGACCCCTTTGTCCCTTTGTTTTGCGCCGCTCTCTCAAGTCTCTAACTCTAAGACTGAGTGTTCCGATTTTGGCCGTTTCTTCTTCTTCTCACTTCCTCCGCCGTTCCTCCTCCGCATCTTCCCTCAGACCCTCTTTTTTCTTATCTCATCGGCTTGGGCTGTACAATAGGAAGGCTTGCTCGCGACAAGGGTGGTTTTGAAGGGGTTAGTTGGATTTTATTTTTTTCCCCTTTTCTCCTTTGAATTGCCTTGATAAGATTGGGTTGGCTGTGATATGTGCAAGATAAGTGTTTGGGTTGGTTGTGATTTGTGATTTGGTCGTGTTTGCAAGGTAAGTATTGGTTGTGATCTTCTGGATGTGCTTTTTGGTATGAGCATTCGCAAAGGTAAACCCATGGACTAGAAGCAAATTTGCTTTGAGTTTATCTAGGTACACGAGAGTCTTGAAATGAGAGTTGGTTTTACATGGTATTCTGGACAAGAAGCATAATTCTCAATGGAATGAGAAGCAAATTTTTTTTTCAAATGTTTTTTCTCAAGTATAAATGGTTTGAGAAGCAAAATTTTTATTTTAATTTTTAAAAAACTGATGGTTTACCCGAAGTAACCCGGCCGACCCGAGATTACCCGAGGTAATCGGATGGTGTACGGGTTCTGGGGGCAAGTAGCTTGTTGCGGCCCACTTTTGTCTCAGCCCGATTCTTGCGAGCCGGCCCAACTATTTATTAAAACCCTACCCTACCCAGCCGAATTTCAACCCCAGTATTTACCGGTAAATATTGTATTCACTAGTAATGTAACACCTCTAGAAATTAAACATGATTAATTAAGATAATTGGAATTTATTAGTGTACCTAATCTGGTTTAGGTAAATAATTATGTTCATTAAATGTTTCTGATATGTAAATGTAAATATTTCTAAGGGATTTAAATATTTTCAGTATTTATATTTTCACCCCAAAAGTATATGTAGACACTTTCTAGTCTAATTTTATAAATATCTTTTAGAAATTATTCTTATTTTTCTTTATTTCTTTTCCTTCCTTTTTCTTCCTTTTTCTTTATTTCCTTCCCGTGCACCTCTCAGCTCTCTCACTCTCCCTATCATTTTTCTCTCTCTCACTCTCTGTCGTTTCTCTTTCTCTCTCGAACAATCTCTCTCTCTCTCTCATCCAATTTGTCACCAATTCTTAAGGATCTTGAACTAAAGAGGAACTTCAAGGAGTTTTCGACGTCAAGAGAAGGATTTGGGGTAAGACTTCTGAAAAACTTCTCATGAATCTTGAATTTTTCCGTTAGAAAAACCTATTCTAGTTTAAATTGGATTTTGATGGATTTTGGGTAAAATCACGGTGAAAATTGGGGGAAATTGGTTCTTTGGACTGGATTTGTCATTTGGAACCTGGATTTAGTAATTTACCTATGAAATATTTCGGATTGGAACTCAGATTTGCAGGTTTTGGCCATATTTTTTTCGGATCAGCCATGTCGGCCATCCTATACAGCTCCCACCAGTCGACCGGTTCCTTCTCCACCTGCCGACCCGTGGAGAACAACTTCTCTGTCACTGGTCGACCGGTGCACACGTGATTTGAACCTATTTTGTACTAAAACCCTATTTTGAGCTTGATTTTTAAAGAGAACTCAAATTAGCTTCATTTGGGAACCTAAAGTAGATGGATTAGCATCTTTAATCCATGTTTTGAGATCAAAATCCTTGGAATGATGATTTGAGTCATGAAATGATTTATGAAACTTGGAATTAGATTAAGGCACACTAATAGGAAATCAAAGTGTTGATTTACTTTAGGAATGATTTATGAAACTTCGAGGAAGCGGAGGCTAGGATAGCGCAACGCTAGCCACAGGTAGGGGTGGCAATTCGTGTTAACAGGTCGTGTTCGTGTCGTGTTGAACCCCTCAGTTGACACGAATAGGTCTGACACGAACACGACCTGTTTATTAATCGTGTCAAAATTCTAAACCCAAACACGACCTGTTTATTAGCGGGTTGACATGACACGACACGATTAACCCGTTTATTAAACAGGTCGTAAACGTGTCGTGTCAACCCGTTAAGTACCTGTCAACACGTTTACGAAACAGGTCATAAACGGGTCGTGTCAACCCGTTAATTACCTGTCAACACGTTTATGACCTGATTATTCTCAACACGTTTGAACCTATATCATAACCTATTTCAAAACCTATTTCTGAATATGTTTCTCAACCTGTTTAACATGATGTAGAGACATTACATAATCTAAGTTCAAAATTAAAACAAACACATTAGAGTCTCTAACAAATTAAAAAACAAACACATAAAAGTCTCACAATTTAGAAAACAAACATACATGTTTAATAATTAAATATTTAAATAATTTGCTGCAATGGGGGGACTCCAAGTGCATCATTACGTTTAGGAGAAGTTGATCCCTGTGAGAAAGGCTCATCTTCTTTCAATGAAAAGTTGAAGATATCTTGTGTAAGATCCTCCACCTCTTCATTGAAATCTATACAAAAACAAATATATATAGATACAAGTTAGTTCAAAATCAATATAGAAAATATACATAATTTAAGTAAGTTTGAAACTACCTTTGTCTCCATATAACCAATCTCTGGTACAAACAAGTGCTTCAACTGTCTTTGGTTTAAGTGAGCTACGAAATGAATCAAGAACTCTACCACCAACACTAAATGTAGCTTCAGAAGCAACTGTAGAAACAGGGACAGCCAATATATCACAAGCCATAGAAGCTAGTGCTGGATATCGAAATTGGTTTGATTTCCAAAAGGAAAGGATATCAAGATCCGCGGTCCTAGCCAATCTTGGCTCATCCAAATAAAGGTCAAGCTCTGATTTCTGTGATGCGGTAGTAGAGTCAACTGAAGGCATCTCATCAAATTCCTACACAATGAGAATGAGATAGTATAAGAATACACAATCAGACATAAGCATAGAACATCCGCATTACTAATAAATAGAGAAATTACCTTGAATATAATATCCACATCATCATTTCCTTCTTTTTCCATCATACAAGTTTCAAAAGCATTGGT